TTTTTTTTTTTTTGATGTCGACAAGAGTTCTAATATGTTGAGTGGTTCTATTTATTACAAGAATAAATGTATATGTCAATCGGAAAAAAATAAATGTATGTTGATTGAAATAATGAATAAAAGAAAAACTGATGTCCTTGAATTTGTCTTTGTTCATGTGTTATGTCAAGCGTTTACTAAGCAAGACGACTGATTGACAAATAACATATGATTAACTGAAACAATTAACATGAACACATATTTATTGAGATTGTTTTTAGTTTTTTCTTCTATCTATGACAAAGATTAGGATTGGTTGTTTTGGATAATTATATATGAGACAGATAAATAGGCGTAAAAAATAATATGGATATAACTTCCTTATAATAAATTAGCAGATTTCATCACTCATTATTATTCTCTATTTATCCGTTAGACATATGACCTGTATTTGACATATTCAGAGCTGATGTCTGTGAACTAATGTCTAGAGAAAATCTTATTAACGAAGTAACTCCTGTCAACATATTAGCCTCGAGAGATATGGTTAAAGCTTACCCATAGGTTTTATTATGTTTTTCTTTTTTTTTTTTTTTTCGATGTCAAAAACCTTGAATTTCATGCTCATCATTATTATCAAATATAATTATCAATTTTCTAGAAAGAAAATATCAATCGATATAATTGATCATGATCAATATCAACGAAATGAGACGTTTCTTGTGCAGTTAGGTGAGCCGTCACTTGTTAGTGATGATGATGAAACAGAAGAAATAGGTATGTCAATAGATGAATAATGAATAGATATGTTATTAATTAATTTCTAATATTTAATTTTATTTTTACCTTTCAGCAATGTCAGAACATGAAAAATTAATTGCTGATTTAGGTAAACCAAGATTAGGTGAAAGAAATACAATACGTATTCGTATACGTGAAAGCAAAGAATTTAAAGTATATAAATATAAAAATAAATTCTTGTTTTTTTTTTTACTTTTTGTCTTTCTAAATTCAATCTTAACTTTTTTTTTTTTTTTTTCAAAAAAAAGAATGCTGTTGATAAAGCTTTATATAAAGCAAATACAGCTATACTTGTTGGTACATCAACATGGTTAGAACAATTTAAACAAGCATTTAGTGTAAAAGGTATATAGAATTATAAACATATTTATAATAAAATTTATTTTTATATTTAGATGATGATGATGATGTTGTTGTTGAATCTGGTGATACAAGTGATGAAGATGAAAAACCAGCAACATGTAAAGATTATATGTTACATTTTATATCATTTTTTTGGAAATTTTTATTTGCATTTGTACCACCAACAAGTAATAAATAGATAAAAAAGAAAATTTTCAATTAATAAAATATATATATATTTAATTAGGTCTTGCTGGTGGATGGCTTTGTTTTGTTGTATCCATATTAATCATTGGTATGCTCACAGCAGTAATTGGTGATCTAGCAACACATGTAAATTAATTATTTATTTCTTGATTTCTTTTTATAATTTATTATTTTTGTTTTAGTTTGGTTGTACAATTGGTCTTACGGATACAATGACAGCAATTGCTTTTGTTGCCTTAGGAACATCATTACCTGGTAGAAAACAAAAAAAAATAATTCTAAAAAAGAAAGTTTTTTTTTTTTAAGATACATTTGCATCGAAAGTTGCTGCTGAACATGATAAATATGCAGATAGTTCAATAGGAAATGTTAATGGTTCAAATGCTGTTAATGTTTTTTTAGGTATTGGTTTACCATGGGCTATGTCAGCATGGTATCATTATTTTAAACAAACAAAATTTGAAGTCGAAAAAGGTTCATTATCATTTAGTGTAACATTATTTTGTTCATTTGCAGGTATTGCTATAATTCTGTTAATGATAAGACGTTTGAAATTTTTTGGTGGAGGAGAATTAGGTGGTCCAACAAAATATCGTATTATATCAAGTCTTTTATTTCTTTTACTTTGGATTGCATATTTAGTATTAAGTGGACTTGAAAATTATTGTCATATTCGTGTTTAAAAACATTTATGTCTTTCTGTTAAATACATGTGTTTTGTCAATGTGTGTGCGTGTATTTTGTTTTGTCACACTTCTATACGAAAAAATAATAATAATAATAATAACAATAGAGCAGAACGGTGCATTAAAAATTTCTTTATTCTTTTCTTAGAAGAATATGAATAACGAAAAAAGAAAAAATCCATGCTAAGAAAGATTATTTATATGTTAAACTAATTCTATTTGTGATTAAATTTGTTATTATGAAATATAGTAGTATGAAATGCAAAAAAAAACATCGACCCCTCAAGATAAAAATATAACTAAATATTTATTTATAATTACAAATAAACTAAATTATATATCGTAAAGTGAATGTACAATATAGACAATTTTACACAATCCTACAATTGAAAAAATTTCAATGAAATAATAGTTGTTATTTTCTACCTATGTGGAACTATTTCGCATGGTAACGATCTTCTTTGCACTCGAAAATTAAACCTACCTCTCCATATTTTATTGAATTGTATATCGAAAGATACAGTTTTTGATGCGCTTTCTTCTAATGCTAAAAGACTCTTGGAGAGAATTACTCTAATATACTTTCAGAGCAAAAATATAGAAAATCTTTTTATAAAACGATCAAATTTCCTATTTGTGTTGAGTTAAAAATAACACATTAAAGATTCTTTAGAAATAATTTATATTTGAGAATCTTGTTCTATCAACAGATCTGATCAAGATACTATGTTAATTGATACTAAAAATGAGGGATCTTAACGATAATATATGTTGTCATTAAGTGTTAAATAAAATTCTCTAAAATTTCTAAAATTTCTAAAATAGTACCTGAGAGTGGATTCCTAGATCTCTTCATAGGATTTTCGAAAAGAACTAAAAATTTGGGTTTGAGCATAATTTTTCACGAACTTTCGAATGGTATAACTTATTTCAAAATTAAAATTTTTCCTATATATGCTTGGTGAATGATCTGATGAGTTTCTCTCTTAAAATTAAATTTTCAAATATATGATAAAGAAATAATAATTCCACATGGGTCAAAAAATAACAATTATTATTTCATTGAAATTTTTTAATCACAAGATTTTATTTTGTACATATTGTACATTCACTAGTGGTATATAATTTAGTTTATTTGTAATTATAAATAAATAATTAGTTACATTTTAATATCGAGGGGTCGATTTTTTTTTTTGCACTCCGTACTATCTCTCGATGATTAAATATGATGAGTGACGAGAATACACTTCTTCTTTTTGCTTAATTATTTTTATTAAAAAATAGTTTCGAGGGCTTAATATCAAAAAAAAATATACTTCAAGCATGATTAATAAAAAAAATAAAATTTGTGAACATTAAATAAAAGGTGACAGGTATTGAAAGAAAAAAAAAATGAATAAATTATTCTTCTCTGATATTTTTACATGAATAAATAGTACCCATTTAACTCTACAATTTTTAAAAAATGTTTTATTTTGAAATAAAATTTATAGGAAGAATTCTACACTTTTTTCTCCGAAAGAAAACAAATTTTTTCCTGAAGGGTTTTTTTTTTCTTTGTTTCTAAAATTTGTTAGAAGCTATTTTCTAGGCTCAGTATGTAAAAGTGCTACTAAAAATATTAATTAATTCACAATTTTAGCAGTACTTTTACATGCTGAGTCTGAAAAATAGCTTCGGAAAATTTCTAGAAGCAAAAAAAAAAGTGCATGAGTTTTTTTCTATGAACTCTTATAGGTCGATTGTGGATGAAAATTATTCATAAAATTCTACTTTTTTCATTATTATTAAAGAAGAAATCAATATTTTACGAAAGTATATATCCTATGAAATACGATTTTTATAATTCGAAGATATTCTCATATTACTTAACATGAATAATATTTTATATGACAAAATTTCTATATAGAATTAATAAAATCTATTCTATATGTTTCTGACACTTTTGATGTAACTTAATAATAGTGTCAACAACAGATGGAAAAGATGAATGTTAGTTCTATTAGAATATATCCTTTTAGAAACAGAAAAGTCATAAAAAATATTAATCATGGATCAATTGAAATTCTTCTACCAAAGATAATATAATAGTATTTAAAGCTTTCTATTATTTGGATCATTTAGCTCGAATAATCTGATAGAGATAGACAGAAAAGTTCGTCTAACTCAATGAATTATAAATATAAACATGTCTGCTAAGTATATTCTACAATAATAATAATAATAATCTAAAGTCCATAATTACGAGTTATTTTGAAATATTATAGCATGAATTTATAGAAATTTTAAAAATTTAAATTAATTCACAATGAATATTCTTCTTTTTTTTTTTTTGTTTAAAAGAAATATTCTAATGGAAATTACAGTGGTTTTGTTTCTCTGTTAATAATACTATCATCAAGTTACATAAAAGTGTCGCAAGCATGCAAATTAGATTTTATTAAATGTATGAATAATTTTTTTGCAACTATCATATGTTTGAAAAGCATTTCTTATTATATATTAGTGAAATGAGAATGATCTTTTACCTGTGAACTCGACTTTCTAAACTTATGATAGAAATAGTTCGTAAATTAACAAGCACAATTTTTTTTGAACAATGATTGTGTGATTTTTCTACATAATATGTGGCAGATATATGCGGGTAGGGACTATTTGTCATTTCAAGTATTAATTATTTTGATATAGAGTATTACAAAGTTAGAAAAAAGAAATAGATGGAATGAATTATTTGACAACATCTTTTTAAATAATGCCTGCTGAATGAATACTCATGATAATCTGTCGAAGTTTTAAATCTATATGAACTATTGAGACTTTTATTTTTTATTTTTTTTTCAAATATAAAGTATATCAATTTGTAGATGACATTAAATTAATGTACTTATCAACATTCTTTATTTACAATAGAAATAATACTTCTAAAAAAAAAAACAAACTAATTATTTTTTTTTCGACGTTTAATTTATTTATTTTAATAAAAATTCATATTAATGAACATTGTTGTTTATCTCGAAAAGGATTATCTTTTGGTGATTGAAATCCAACAACAAGTGCATCATTTGATTGATGATCATTTATATAACGAATAAGATCTTTACAAACAATTGAAACTTTTATACGTTCACGTTTGGCTTCTTCACGTAATTGTTCACATAGACGACGTTGAGTAACATAAGCAGTTTGCGCATGATCTTTAATAGGCAAACAAAAAAAAAAAAGAAAAAAGAAAAGTAAGAATCTATCTCATTATAAAAATGTTATAATCTTTTCTAAGATATGAAACAATCCAAGACTTGGTTCATTTTTTTTTGCTTAGATCTTATTACTTGTCTTTACGTTGAATAGCGTAAATAATGAATATATATATATTTTTTTTAATATGTATAATTCATTTAAACTATCTGTTTCAGTTGTAAAGAGAAAAACGTCAAGGTGAAAGAGTCTCTATGGCATATGAATGCACTTCGAAGATTCCCGATTTTCTATGTAGGGTGCGTTACATCATAATTAGACAAATGTAATTAATAATCTATCCATTTGTTTGTCTTTTTGAATAAGAAGAAAAAATTATACTTACATTCAGGTGCATACGAACGAGATGATGAAAAATTGTCTGATATATGTCGATTTGGAATAGAATCATGTGTTGATGAAATTGGAGTAAAACCACTAATATTGTTACCTTGTAGAATTGACATAGGAATGATTTAAAATATTGAAATTAATGATGATTAATTAAATTGAATGTTTATTTTTTTGATTATATTTTAAATTGAGATATATGTAGATAAAGTTTTTTTAGAGATGATAATATAAATTTATTCTATGAATAAATATTGTTGTTTTGTCTAGTTTTCTTTTTTTTCTTTATTTCCTATAAGTATCTGTAAGTTAAATCGGACTGTCGTGTTTACTAATATACTTTAGGTATCAGATTGTCATAGCACTAATAAAAAGTTTGCGCGGTTTCCTGTCTCTTATGAAAATGAGAATAGAAATAACACAAAAAAAAAAAAGTGAGTGAGAAGAAAAACAGAAAGATTCTGATGTAGTTTTTTTTTTTTTTTTGCTTGTTCCTCTTTTTTTCTTTTATGAAGATACTAGGAAAAAAATGTTCGCGCTCTTTTTCTCATCAAAAATAGACTATTAATAAATGATGTTAATCCTTCCCTAGCATGCTTATTTCTAACAAATATGTAAATGAATAATATCAAAAAAAAAAAAAAAGATTCGAGCTTATTACCATGATTTTACAAACATCGAATACATCATAAATGTGACATAATTAGACGAATTATGGTAAAAATTAAAAGAATATTAACATCTATTAATATTACACCAGTATTTATAACACAACCTTATAGATCAATTCTCATTTAAAAGTTCTCTTCAGTAATAATCGAAATGATTAAAATATTCATGATAATAGGGAACTCAGAAAACAAAATCCCGTTCTAACAGTCAAATAATCAAGCGTTAATGAATATTTTTGTAGAGTCAGCACGTTACGATCAAGTTTTTTTTTTTTTTCTTTATTATCCATTTAGTTGTTTGTCAAAAATATGAATGTTCGTATTTATTATTAATAGCCGTAAAAATATGCTAATAATATAAAGTTTTCTTTTTGATATGAAGAAATTTTTCTAATGATTTTATTATAAAAACAAATATATATATATATATATATTAGCATGTAATATTCAATGAATCTTATTGAATATTAATGTTGTCAAATTTAATTAACAATACTATGCTTATGTTTTGTTTTTGTCCATCATAAAAATGACGTTTTTTTCTTTCGTAATAAAATATTTCATGATAAGATTAATCAAAAAATAATGATAACAGGAACTTTTTTTTGTCTTTAATTCTTCCTTTGGATTAAGATATTGAAAGAAGGATAATGACTTTTTAAATTTAAAAAAACAAATGCGTCATTTATGATATCCTTCTTCTTTTTCTTTTTCCTATAAAATTATTTAAATTAGTCAACATATTTTCTTCCGAAGAAAAAATAAAAGCAAACTGAAAAATAGAGTTATGATTTACTTTGAAATTTCCGAAAAACATTTCTCGATCAAATCGATATTTACATAAGAAATATTCTTTTATTTGAATAATAAATACATATTGTTAAAATTTTGATTTTTTTTTGTAAATAATTTCTAGATTAAATATTATTAAACTAAATAATTGTTCAGCTCTTTTTGTTTTTTCTATACATCGAATAAAATACTATTTGAAATTATTATATAATTTCAATATTCTATAGAATATTTTTCATTGAAGATAAAAACTAGAACAAATAAAGATAACATATATATTAAACTGAATGAAACAAATCATGTTTTGAGTATTGACATAAGTATTATAAATTTAAGGCGCTTATCAAAAATATAATTAAATCTCTTAAATCGATTTAAATATAGGTCAATTGTTATATATAAGAATATAAAAGTAGCAAGAATGCTTTAGAATGTAACAAAATATGATATATTTATTTATTTTTCATTCCTGATTATAAATGATTTAATATTGTAATAGGTGAGAAATATTTCACTTCTAAATGTACTCGTTAATCTCACATATATTTTAGAATGATAGGAACAAAAAAATTGATATACTGATTACAGTTACTTTTCCATGATAATTAATTCTTCATTTTCTGCGTCTATTTTTTTTTCTAGTGTTATTATCCTTTAGATCCATTATATGATTAAAAGGAGTAAGAATGCAACATCTGGTATACAGCAATTCAGTATATTAATATGTTAATTTCATAGTGAGTTATATTCTTGCTTGTTTGCATGAAACAAGATTAATAACTCAACCGAATAGACAAAATTACTAAACTTTAATAAAAGTTATATCGCAATCATGTATTGATACATTCAACTGAAACTTTCAATAGTTGAGTCATAAGACACGTAACACTAGGCTGCGACCTATACAAACAACTCAATTCATCACTTCGTTCACCTGAATTCAATACGAGTTAGTATAGTTGACATTCATTTCAAATAAACAGTACAATCAATTAATTCAGAAGAGAATTGAAAGTAACACTCTATTATGTATGTAATATGATATCACTAAAACAAGTCATCTAATAGAATCATTCATATATCCTTCTTTTATCCAAGAAGAACCCGGCAATTTCATCTAGTAGCTATTCCTAAGTCCTTGTAGCGGCGCCATAGGTTGGCTACCGAGAGAAACTCTTCAACTGATTAATCGCTTTGGAGTATGAACTCCGTATACCATGTAGATTCTAATCAGCTATGAATATTCTGAAAACAATACGGATCCTTAGCTTATTACTGCTGAGATGCTACATTTTTACGACATTTTTTAAGCTGATACGCCGTTGTCCCCTTAGGAACATGCAAGAAAAACTCATTTTCAAATTGCAACTTGAAACTTTGCATAGAAACAAGTGCTAACGAGAACAGTTTCCCATGTCAATTGATATTTCTATCTTTATTGTCATCGTGTACAGCTACACATGAATCGTAATTTCATTATAATACGACCGTATTAGTGACCGCAGAATACGATCTATTTATATATCATAAATTAACCGTAAACAACCTTATACGGATCGTATAGTTCAATCTAAGTTATTATGAAAGTTTCAGATCTTTTGATTTGCTCCTTTTCTGAAATCTTCAGTCAGTCATTACGTATTACCGTCTAATGCCGTTTAGTGTCGTTATCAGCCATTGTCATCTTTCGATCAGGAGTGTTCCTCCCAAGTTGAACGAACAGTTAATTTACTATATGTAAACGGATCTGATTATGTCAGTAATACGGCTCATATATACAGCCGTATACGATGAAAATACAGATAATTGTATCAATCAATATTGACTTATATTTATCTATCATGTTGTAGTCGATCAGTAGTGACAGCGTCTGGAAGTGTTTAAACATCAATTATCCTATCATACACTAATATTTCGAAGGCCCAGCTGTTCCTATGAAAGTTTGCGATAATCATCACTTTGAATCAATACTCTTAAGGATTGATGAAATTTGTATTCGCGAGGAAACTATCTCAGTTGTAATCCACCGTTTGAATTCATATTGGACCTATAAGAAAGTCTCGATAAGATCCCAAAATGGTTCTTGTCCAAGAGCCTCTAGAGTCGAATTATGACCGTTTTATTGAATTTTTGATCCATTTTCATGTAATTTTCTAATTACAAATGTCAACAAGATAAAAAGAAAATACAAAATAATACCATTATTTTTATGATGCATTAATTATATTAATTAAATTTTACACACTAATTTATTTTTGTCTTTTTTTTTTTTGAAATTTCATATAACACAATGAGCAACAAACAGAAAACAAACAAACAAACAAACATAGAATGAGTGTGTGTGTATGACTAGAAACAAGATTTGTCATTTTATGTATATATATATATATATATTCTTTTCTATACATTTAACATCGATATATTCATGTAAAGAAGAAAAAAAAGCTGGGGTCATTTTTTGACAAAAAGAATTAATCCGAATACTAAAACAAAAGAAAGAAAAAGAACGGATTTAAAAATGAAATTAAGTTTGAGGTGGTGTTTGTTGATATTGTCCTTGTTGATAAGGTGTATATTGAGGTTGCATCATCATTCGTGGTGGTTGATTTTGCCATTGTTGTTGTTGTTGTTGCATATGATAAGTTTGTTGTGGATGATACATTTGTTGTTGTCCAGCATAGTTATTATATGCCATTTGTTGTTGTTGTTGATTTGAAACAAGATTTTGTGTATTTGTTGCTTGAGAAGGTGAACTTGATGATGATGGTTTAGGTGATGATGGAGCTTGAATAATTGATTGTTGTTGATTATTTAATGGAGAATTTGGTTTAGCTATTTGATTTGAAGGAACAGACATGCCTGGATCTTAAACAAAAAAAAAAATCTTTAGAAGTTATTCAATGTGTTAAAAAATTTTTTTGTTACTTTGTTGTTGATGATACATTGAATAATGTTGTTGAGGCATACCACCATTTGGATGATGTCCATAACCATTTTGTTGTAATGTATATGCATGTTGTTGTTGTTGTTGTTGAGGTATATATGATTGTTGACCTTGAATATATGAAGATTGTGTTTGTCCAGTTGATGGATGATCCATTGGACTACCATTCATAACTCTACCTTGTTGTTGTTGCATCATTGGTTGTGATGGTAAATAAGGTCTTGGTTGTTGTTGTTGAGACATTGAAGATAAATGACTTGATGTTGGTTGTGGTGTTGGTGCTTTATTCATAACGGGATTTTGAGGTGAAATAGATGATGTTATTGGACCAGATGGTGATGGTGACGGAATTGAACCAGCTGGTGATCGTTGTTGTTGAAGTGATGGAGGCATAGATGAATTAGTTGTTGATGTATTTGATGGAGGATAAAGACCACCAGCACTATTACTACTACTACCATGTGGACTTTTATTTAATGTTGATGAAGGAACATTCGATGGAGCTGGACTATTTGTTTGTGCTCGATACACTTAAAATAAAATAAAAACATTCATGAGAAAATCTCTTCAATTAACATATTCAGCCCGATGTGATCCACTGGTACGTCACACTATATTTTAAGAAGAAACTGTATACAAAAATCGCTTTCTGTTGCCTTTTATTTACTCATATCGTAAATACTGAACAGTTTTTAGTGGTAAACCGCGGTAAATCGGCGATTTTTCCGAGCATTTTTATGACATGGGAATAGATAAGAAAAAAAACGTTTAAAATAGCAAAATCGATGATTTGGAGCACCTAAATGTCAATGATCATCGGTGAACCGGTCCATTTTAGCAGTAAACCACGGTTTTTATCACATGGATAGGCAGGAGGTTGCATATAATGTGTCGCCTGCTGTCTTCAGTACTTTTTGAGTTCTTTATTCCATAGCATGATGCCTCTCGTTAAAATCATCAAGACAAAAGAAATTTGTTACAGTCAGCATAGAAGGTTTTTATTGTCTTTGCTGTCAGCATGCTCACTTCTCTTGATTGTTGTTTCCCCCTTCAGACATTGCGTGTAAATTCTTGCTTTTCTTCGAGCTTGCTGATTATTGTCTCGGACCAGGTTCCAGCTTCTCAAATGGCGTACCAAGGAGTAAAGACCGCACGAGACTCTCATGAAACCACAGAATGGTCATGTCGTTTGCAGCATAATTTTTCTTGTAAATCAAATAATTATTAATTAGTGCGGTTTCAAATACTACCTTGTCTTTCCTTGTTATAATCTAGTACAACTTATGGCTTTCCAATAGGCTCATTTCGTATATTGTTTTTTCCAATGTCCACCACAATTGCTGAATGTGACAGTCTTGTGGATATCATCAAAACATCTCTTTCATCTTTCCACTTAATTAACTATACGCATGTTGGAGAATACCAAGTATGACGTAAACGAATATATTATTAAGAAAAGTCCAATATAGAACATGTGATGCATAGATATAACTGTCCATATGATATAGCAATCAGAAAAAAGAAAACAACGAGCCAGTATAGAATGAAAAGAATAATGAATACACACAAAAATGAATCTGTTAGAGCTATTCTGCAATAAAACTGAATCGGGTCGAATGTGTTAATCATACTCATGTATTCGAATTCTTCTTATAAAATATAGAGAGATACCCAAACATCGTACTTTGATACTCTCAATGAAATTTTCAAGTCGCCTCCAAAGACAAGATACTTTTTTCTATTCAGCGACTAACGTCCTATATACATTTCTCAGGCGATCAGAGCCCACCACTCTATTCATCTCACGATAGAGAAGTATCCGTTTGAAATGAAAAAGGTTTAAGGGCATGAATCCTATTATAGTGTTCATTTAAATTATATGCTCGAATATCGAGTATCAATATGCAAAATTTTATTTACTTTGTTCAGGAGTTGATGTTGGTACACCCATTTGATTCGGTTGCATCATATTATTTCCCTAGAATGATGATAACAAGAATAATAAATCATCTTTCCTTGGAATATTTTATATCTACCATCATTGTTTGTTGTGTTTGAATGAATGCATCGGGTGGCTAAAATTTATAAACAAAAAATAAATCGTTTGTTTTTGTTTTGTTTTAATGAATACTAACAGGTAAACTATTTGGATGATGTGTTTGTGTAACATCAAATTGTGTTAAATAAGTTAAATTTCGATGTAATGTTCGTTGATATCTAAATTTTCATATATAAAAAATTTCTTTGTTTTAGTTTTTAATTAAATAACTTACTCAATACTTTCCATTTGTCGTCCTTTAGATTGTAAATCAAGTATTAATGATATTAATTGAGAATTATCATCAAGTAACTAAGAAAAAAAAAAACAACAACGTAGTATATAAAACAAGAATATTATATAATATTACTTTTTGAATAGTTGGTTTTTGTTGTTGAGGCATTGGAGCCATCTGTTGTTGAGAATACATTGTTGAAATCATGCACAAATAAAAAAAAAAGAGATCAATCCAAAAAAGAACACAAGAAAAAAAAACAATATGAAGTTCAATAGAAAGAAAGACAAGATAAATTAACCAATGAATGTTTTAAAGATATTATAAAATATGAAATAAATTTCCGAAGAATTTATTTATTCAATCGAAAATTTTCTTAAGCAAAAAAAAAAAAATTTTTTTGAATTATAAAAACTAAAAATTTATAGATGTCGCCGTATTTGACAACAGTAGATTAACAAATAAACATTTGTCTACCTTTTTATGATAATTTTTAACAAAAAAGAAATGAAGAATATTTAATATTGGTAAGAAGAAACAAAAAGATTTTTTTTAATTTACGTAGAATATTAAGAAACTCAAAGAAAAGAGAAATTTCGTATTTTAATAGAATTACAACATCCATATGATTTATTTTGGAAGAGTTCGTAAGGTCCATCATCCCGTCAGAAATCAGGATTTCCATCAAAAATTACAACTTTAACGTAATTAGATAATTCTTAATGTCTAATACGATTTACCGAATATATTATGTTTTTTTATGGTTTGTTTTTCGCATTTTTCTATTGATATTTATTTAGCAGATGTGCTCACACTATGGACAAGTATCACATTTTCATATCAGAAAATGGAAGACTTTTAATGTTACTGTATATTCACTATGGAACATCGACTGAATGAATATTTTATTTATTTTTTCTCGTTCCTGTGTTAAAGGTGTTTTGACTGTGTTTAACATGCTAGAAAGTTTGAGAAGGTTTTGAAATTGAAGAGAAAATTTTACTCGAGACAAGTTAATAGAGTTGCAATTTTCATTTTCAAATTACTTTTTTGAAAAGAAATGTATGTTTTTTCGTAGGGAGACACCCTAATTTTTTGAGATAAAAATTTCATCACACGTAATGAAATAATATTTTGAAATATTCGACTCTGTTAAGTTGTAGCAACATGTCTTAGCTTAGTAAACAAGTATTTTTATCTTTTAGAATGAGAAAATCTAATCAATTAGATTAAAAACATCAATTCATTGATTGCAAAATTATATCTCGAATATTAAAAATCTATATTGTTTTAGTTCAAACAATAATAATTCATCTTATTTTATGTTTTATACTATTAAAAAACCGATCATGAATTGATATTCTTATTAAGTAACAATCGAAGGATGTGTTTTGTAACTTAAGAACATTAAATAAATGAAAGACTTTACCGGTTAATCAAAAAATTTCAAAATATCCCTTACTTATGACATATATTCGAAAATTTAAGGTATTTACAAGTATATGTTTTCTGTAAGATCAAGTTTATTTTTTGGTTTTGGTAATTTGTTTATATCGATCCGAGCCGTAGTGTGGGTAGTATCCTTCTGACAATTGAATTGACCCTCGGGGAGTCTATGATTATTGCATCAAACACTATGTATTTAATTTACAGCAAAATTTTAATTTCGAATGTTTTAATCATTCGAAAAACATATTACATACTGTATAACTAATACAAATATCTTTAACTTTATTGATATTAGATATAAATACAACACATAAAGGATGTCCAGACACTTATTATGAGCATCATCTTTTGGCGAAATTTTGAAGCTTTGAGGAAACATTTTTAAATAGAAAATGAACTGAATCAATCAGTTGAATTATAATTGAAGATTATGCTATTATAGTTAGTTCTATCTATTTTCTAGAGCAGTAGTATGAATGCTGTTCGATTAAATACAAAAGCGATAAAAAGAACTTTTATTTTGAGATTTTGAGTGCTAAAAAATCTGGCTTTGGATTTTGAGATAATGGCAAATCCCAAATTGTTACTAACTTTTACTAAACATCTAAATGTCGGTTCTGATTTTTGACAAAAATAACAGACCAGCAGACATCAGATATAAAAAAAAAACGAAAAATGTTATTTCGCTGATACTAATATGTTTCCGGTTACGGCAACAGCGACTATTTGTTCTTTCCTAATGACACACTCTTACGAGCACCACCAAACTCAGTCTCATCCACTCTCAAGATAGTAAACTTCTGATTTTTTAGTTATTCTTAAAAAGATAGAATTCAAAAGAACAGATAATTACATTCATATTAGTTCAAATTCGTAGGATTTTTTCCAATTTGTAAAAATTGTAAAGTTTACAATAATTTTGACATACATAGATTTTAAAATTAGTGCTAATTCAAGATTTGACTGTCCTTGCTTTTTTTAATATTCATTTCTATTTTTTGACATATTTATTTAATAAAAAGCAGCGGTATATTTGAACAAGCAGACTTCGAAACAGGTCGCTCGGCCCAATGATTTTATCCTTTTTTGAGATTTGACTCACTCCTGAGCAAGGCTCTCGATTGTTTTTGAGAGTGGAGAGACATTTTTCGTAAACTTTCGCAGACAGTCTGTTAACGCAAGCGTTTCAGAAATAGCTGCCGAAAATTTCCTAGTTTTTCATAAAAACTGGCGACCAGTAGCGCGCCACTTTCCGTGTTTCATAAAAAGTCATGATCGAGTTCAAGAGGAGGGAGGGTAGCTTTGGAAAGATTCTCGTATCCCCGTTCAGGTATAAGCCAAATCTTGGAAAAAGTTTCATACACAAAAACAACACCGGGGCTAAAGGGGAGGGGGGATAGCTTGCGAAGATCCCCCGAACAGCGTCTATTTAAAAATTTACTAGACAGTAAAACAGATTTTTAATTTGTGCGGGGAACCAGCCCCCTAGTCTCTCCTCACATCGAGAGTCCTGCTCCTGAGAGAAATAGAGGGAAGCTACTTCCCCTTTGGTCCTCACTTTTTATAAGAGCCGAAAAATATGGAATGGCTGTCTATTGAGAAAAAAAAATCTTTATAAACGAAGTTTCTTTCGGGTCGAGCCATAAAAAAGTGGCTCGATTTCGAGGCCTACTTTCTAGAAAATGTCGGCTTTTTCTTAAATATTGTACGCCATTTGTGTATGGCTCCCAAAATCATTCGAGTACGAATATGTGTGAATTTTATTTTTGTTTTTCAGATGTATATTCGTCAATATAATTCTCGTTTATATCTATCTTTATTATTTAAGCATATTAAAAATCTCTCAACAACATCATCAACTATTCTTAAACCTTATCCAAGTTATGTTGAACGTCAATTAGATGTTGTTATAAATACATCACCAGGTGATGAATTTGTTGAAATTGATCATGAAACAAAATTAAAAGTTGCTAAACCAACAACATCAATTCGTGCAAATATAAATTATATTGATACAAATCCATTAGGTAATAAAAATCAACCAATTGTTTTACTTGTTCATGGTTATCCTGGTACATATGAATCAACAAAAAATTTTATTGAAGAATTTCAACGAAGAAATTTTCGTTGTATTGCACCAGATATGCCTTGTTAGTTAATTGAATTTTATTTTTTGTTAAAAACAAGAAAGATTATTATTTAATTTAGATTGTGGAAAAACAACAATGCCTTTATGGAGTGGAATAATTTGGAGAAATTCTGTTTATTTACGTGCAAGATTTCTTGGAGAATTACTTAAAAATATAATGCAAGATAAATTAATGTGAAAAATTTATTTTTTTGGAGAAATTTTTAGTATTTTTGTTTTTTTATATAGACCTATCCATACAGTAATTGGTTTTCATGAAAATGCATATACATTAATGTCAATGATTGATCAATATGAATATTTTCGTTGTCAATCATTAATATTAGTTGATCCAGCACCGAGAAAATTAATTCGGTAAAGATAATAAAGGACAAAAAACAAAATTATAAATTTTTTTTTTATTTTTGTAGATTTCTTCCATTAGCTAAATTTGCATTTGATTTCGGTCGAATTCCACTTCATTGGCCAGTAGCAAAATATTTTTTAAAAATTCTTGGTTATAAAGAATTATTAAATTATTCTCAACGTAATATTATGGCTGCTTTACGTATTTGGATGCTTGAAGATACATATCAAGTAAAAACAAAAATATGAAGAAATCTTTTTTTGTTTATTCTAATTTTTATAGTATGATGCATATGTACATAATTTATGGTTATCTCGTTTACGTACAATGGTTATTTTATCAGAAGAAGATAAACATCTTGATAGGAAATTATTAGATGATTTAATTAAAGATTTAGCTGTTGAACCTTTCAATAAATGTAGGTGAGATTATAGAGAATTAGATTGAACACGAATCTTACTTCTCAATGAAATTTTTTTCATTTGGAACCTGGCAATTACTCCGAAAAATGCATCATACTTTTTTTTTCGATTATTTCTATTCGATAATTAACTTGTCCTATGAATTCCTCAGGCAATCTTATAATTATACAGGTATAATTGACACTGTACTTTCAGACTATCATCCATTGGTAGGGACTTGCGGGCGCACGTTTTTGTGGATCCAATAAATTCAGATTCGAGTTTTTTCCCATCAATATCTGTCACTCTCTATGTACATGAACAACCCAGGCCGATCATTTCGACCATCTGAAACGGCTTAGTTCCTGCCGTAAATGGTGAAAAACGAGGGCCGTTTTCAACCAGCTTTGGGGTTGTAATCCGTCATACCAGATTACGGAGCGCGTTTCTTCGGAACGGAAACGACACCGTTTCGTGTCTAAAATACACCGTTATTTGACGACCACATTTAGTTGCCCAGGACGAGCGTTACGACAGTCGTATGCGATCGTATTCTGTCGTATACCTTGACTTCTGAATTACAACTAATCTCGTCGAAATGAGCTAAAAAAAGAAAACCTATTGAAATCTGAGCAATATCGGCAGAGTTCAAAAGTTCCTAATATAATAGTACAAGATCTGGTGAGAACTTGTATATTCAAATAGTAATTGCTGTGGTTTTGATAAACAAAAAATCAATAATCTACGCGCTTGCATCTGTTGTATGATGCGTGAACAAAGGATTTTGATTAATACACGAAATAAGGTGAAATATCGGCGAAAAATGATCGCCGTTTCCGATGGGATGTAAACGACCACTGTAAAAGGCCATCATTTACTGCATTATTTAGATGTTTTATGATGTGTCGTAGACGGCCATAGTACTTTTAGCCATTATATTCGACCTTGGAAGTGAAGAATCAAGGTTTTAGCTTGTAGTGATGTAAACGTGAAGTGCTGTGTAGTCTCGAACTCGTAGCTTCTTCCTATCCATTGGATTGGTTCCGAACCTGAATCCATTCAGATCTGAGGCCTAACAATGTATGTGTGATTTTGATAGCTAATAGAATTTTCTATTTAATACATTCTATATAAATAAACAATGATGGCAAGGTTTCTAAAAAAGTCGATGTATATAATTTAAACAGAAGAATACAATAATTGAATATATTGAAAAGAACATGTTCGTTTTAATTGAAACTTTTGACATTATCAAATCCGCCTACAGATAAACTTTCAGATCAAATTTCTTTGGTTTTAAGTTTTTTTTTTTTTCTTTCAAAAATATCTTGCTCTATAGTAAAAATTTCATTAAAAAAGGTCGTAATTCATTATCAATTGGCCATATAGGTTCGAATCCTTTTAAGCTTTTTCTTAATCTTACTCATAGTCATAAAATGAAAATTGAATGATGTCCAACAATTGAATATATTTCTTAGTCAACGATGAAAAATTAATTATCGATGATTTTAATTATTTAATTAAGGTAGTCTATGTCATATCAATCAAAATATATGTAATTTAAATAGACAGTTCAAGATAAATAAACAAAGACATATTAATTTAATTAGCCTTTGCAAAAACTTACAAAAAGATTTTTTTCGTTCGATTGAGGAAAAAAAAATCCCAATTCTATCAAATATAAGTAATCATTTCTTTTTCTCTTAATAATAAAAATCAACAAATTTCTTATGAGAAATTATTTAAGAAAAAAAAAATGTCACATTTTGAATTTTTTTTCTCGAATAATTGCGGTTAATCATAAAAAGGTCATTTAAATGTTACGTATAAATCTATGATATATCAGTTTAGTGATAATATTGAGTCATCATCCTCATACTCACTAGGTTAAAATACTACGATAGATCAAATATTCTAATAGAAATGTTCTTTTTTCTTTTCTATTGTATTTCATTTTAAGCAACGATGGCTAATGCTGTTATTAAAAAATATGCTTGTGATCATAATGAATTATTAACTGATCGAATTAGTTATGTTGTCGATGATATTGAAACATTTCTTTCAAAGGCTTCAATGTCACCAGCTGCGACCATGTTCGTAATTTCTTTTTTTTTTTTATTCATTCTTTCTTTCTTTCTTCTTGGTTTTATTGTCTTCTTTCTTGTATTTCATTAGAACACAATCATTTTCATCGACAATAACAACAGCAAAAGAAAAAGACAGAAGAAAACGTATTGTTGAAACGAACAATAACAACGAACGCGAAAAATCAAATATTGAACTAGATGAAAATGCATATAAACGTGCAAGTGTAAATGATTTTTTTTCCAAAGCATTTGGTCCAAGTCAATCAGAATTAAAACCAAATCAACCACATAGTTTACGTTCAGCATTTGAAAATATTGCTGGTGATTTTATTGAACGACCACCACCCGGTACAAAACGTGAAACATTAGCAAGTGTAAAAGAAGAAATGAGAAAGAAAAAAATTCGTATTGACACAAAAAATTAAATATATATAAATTGATGTACGTGATAAACATCGTTTTTTTTTTGTTAACCATAAGTGTTTATATTGACTTTGACCGTACATAGATGTGTGAGAAAAGGTCATTTTAGATCGGATATCTTTATTTGATTTGTTTCAGATGCTCACATCACATCTCTATTGGTTTCTTTATCGTCGTCGACATAAATTCTTAATTTTTCTTATTATTATATTTTGTATATTATTTTTCTTCTATGGAAATGATTATAAAGTATCATCCGAAACTAAAAAACCATTAGATAAACCAAAAATAATTTCTAATAAAAGAAAAATACGTATTAATCGAGAAACATATTCAACACCAGAACCATGTCAAGGTTGTCCAGGTGAAAATGGACAAGGTGTACAATTAACAGTAATTAAAAAAAAAAGAAATTTTTTTTTAAATTTTATTTATATTGTTTTTTTTTTTCTAGGCTGAAGAATCGAAAAATTTAGATGTTGTGATGAAAAAAGAATTTTTTAATTTACGTGCAAGTGATAAAATTTCATTATGGAGATCATTACCAGATACTCGTGATCAATTGTATGTAAAATTCTTTTAACTATAATGATATTAAGAACTATTCATTTATTTTTCGATCATGTGAAAATAACTACGTAATCTTTCCAGTAAACTAGTACATATTTAGTTGTCTTTTATATCTTACTGTAAACAATTTAAAATCTGTTACACTTTAAAAAAGACGATTTTTTTTCTTATGTAGGGAGTACATGGAAAATTAATTTGTAGAAAAATATCCTCCAACCATTCAGACTGAAATTTCTGTAAGAGATATGTTCGAGAAAAAAATTAATTAATCAAAGTTTTCGTGGTTTTTTTTCTGGAGAACTCTAATTTTCCATAGGACCACATCGGGTCCGTTTATAACCCTCTTCCAATTTTGTTCGATCGGGATGAAAATGTTTTTTTTTGGAGACACCTTAGACCAAATCTTAGATATGATTTTAAACTTTTTTGTTCTTACGAGAGTAACACATAAAGGCTTGGATTCGAAAGTGAAGTATTGGCATTTCGGACTTTCGGGAACAAATGTTAAAAACATAAACAATTGATTTCAATTCTGAAGAATACTTCTATGTATTTCTGGTAAAACTTTCAGCTTGATCGGACTGATAATCTTCATTTGAGTCCATGGGTACGACTCATAGTGTAGATAAAAATTCTGAACGAGTTCCTACCATTACACTTTCTTCTCGATTTATGATTATTCTTCCTGAACATTCAGTCTATTGCAGGATATCATAACAAGGAATTTCAATCTGAAATTCTCTCCAACAATAACTCATATGATCCTTATGATATCCGAAAAGTTTCAGCTCAAACGAATGATTTCTTCTTACAATATTGTATGCCTAAAAACTGCACTATTTTTATAGCTCTCGTATGAAAGTACCGGTTTCTTTTTTGCAAATGTGTTATCTCAGAAGGGAAACATATGCTTGAACTGCAATTTTCAGGATATCATAAAAACCATAGAACACATGCTTAGATGCTCTATCTATAATAGAAGTTATAGGCGAATCAGTTATACCATTTTCGAGAACTAGGCATACTTAAAAAAAGAGAGTCGGTGAGTTGTTTTTATATGATCGAGAAAAAAATCAAATAAATATTTTATCTCAAAATTTGTACAACAAATATTTTTATTTTATATAGATGTAAATCTACTGAATATCCAAAAGATTTACCAACAGCATCAGTTGTAATAGTATTTAAAAATGAACGTTGGTCACCAGTTCTTCGAACAGTTTATTCTGTACTTAATCGATCACCAAAACATTTACTTAACGAAGTTATTTTAGTTGATGATCAATCAGATATTGGTAAAATTGATTTTTTGATAAAAATAAATTCTTTTCATTTTTTGTTTTTATCTTAATTATTTAGAGGAAATGGGTCAACGTTTAGATGATTATTGTGAAGAACATTTTGGTGATTTAGTACGTATTTTACGTGCACCAACAAGACTTGGATTAATTAAAGCAAAAAATTATGGTGCAAAAAATGGTGAGTTTTTGTTTTTAACAAAAAAAAAAAAAAGAAAATTCCTTGTTTATCTTTTCTAGCTACTGGAGATGTTGTTGTGTTTCTTGATGCACATTGTGAAGCAAATGCTGGATGGTAAATAGATAAGATTAAAATAAAAATTTATTTAAACAAAAAAATAAAAACTATAGGCTTGAACCAATAGTTTATCGTATTCAACAAAAACGAACAGCTATACTTTGTCCTATAATTGATGGAATAAATAGTTATGCTTTATCATATCATAGAGGTTTCTCTAATACTGTTGGAACATTTACATGGTCACTTCATTTTTCTTGGTCTAATATGTTTTCTCGTATTTACAATACACGAAAATCATCAGTTGATCCTTTCCCGTAGTTTATGTTTTTTTTTCTATTTGCTTCTGTTTTTTTTTTGAATGGTGATTGGGATATATATTTTTTTTTGTTGTTGTTTTTATAGGTTAGAACCGCTTTTGCTTCGAATTAAAGAAAAACGTTCAGCTATTTTATGTCCGGGTATAGATATGATTAGTGATCAAAATATGGCTTATGGTGTAAGTCATGTTTGAGAAATATAATTTCGATCTTGTTTTGCTTTGATTTTTGAATTTTAAAGGGTACGGGTGATGGTAGTGTAGGTGGTTTTTGGTGGTCATTACATTTTAATTGGGTACCGATTCCAGGTCGTATACGTAATGCAAAAAAATCAAGAATTGATCCGTATCCGTGCGTGGTTTAAGTTGCTTTTGCTTGGAGAATTTTGCTTTTTTTTTTTTTGTATTGAATAAATTTTATTTTTTCTTTAGATCACCAACAATGGCTGGTGGTCTTTTAGCTGCACATAGAGAATATTTTTTTGAAATTGGTGGTTATGGTAAGAAATATTAAATATCAATTAGATAAAAAAAAAAGAATTTTTATGTTTTCTTTTCTTTTTATTTAGATGACGATATGGAAGTAAGAGATTTATTGATTGTATTCTTCTTCAATGGTTTCTTTTAATAAGAATAATAATAGATTTGTTATTTCATGATAGAAAATGTCTTATGAATTTTTCATAACTAATGAATGTGTGTTTAAGATATCATAGATTCAAATTTTATATCAATCAAACGAATATTTTCTTTATTATACTAAGAAATAGAAACTGACGATATATTTTAAGTCGCTTCTATCCTTGCTGGGCAACAGCTAGAGTCCACCGAGTTCAGAATGCGATTATAAGATTTTTTTCTATTTAATAATGTAAGAATTATCGAGTTCTGTTGCATTCCATTGAAATATTAATAGAAGATGTCACCTTTGTCGTGTGACGTTCTCTATTGACATCACATCAATACGCCATGCATAGACTATTATAGAAAGGAAGCCTTCTTCCACTAGTCTCATATCCATATTTCATTAGAATCTGCATGAAGGACGTTGTTCCAATTGAAAAGCGATGAGTTCATTGACGAACTTTCCTCATTAGTTAATATGAATCAGTGACAAAAAGAATCTATCTCAAGAACTGAATTTCTAGTATTACACTTTTCACAAAATGAACTGTGCACATACTAATTTCTTTTCTTTTATATGTCATTGAAATATTGAACAAAAATAAATATGTTTAGGTATGGGGTGGTGAAAATCTTGAAATATCATTTCGTGTATGGATGTGTGGTGGTAGTCTTGAATTTGTTCCATGTTCTCGTGTTGGTCATATATTTCGACCAGGTCATCCATATAATATGACTGGAGAAAAAGGTATATATTGTTGAATATTTGATAATTATAAAAACAAAAAGAAAATTTCATTTCTTTCTTGATTTTTCTATTTAAGGTAAAGGTGATGTACATGGTCGAAATTCAATGCGACTTGCTGAAGTATGGATGGATGATTATAAACGTTTTTATTATATGCATAGACATGATTTAAAAGTAAAAGAATTTTTTTATTTTATAATTTTAATCAGAAAACAAAAATTTCTTCTTTTGTTTTTCTTTCTAGGGTAAAGATTTTGGTGATGTTGAAAGTCGTCGAGAAATTCGTAAACGTTTAAATTGTCATTCATTTAAATGGTATCTTGATAATGTATTTCCTGAAAAATTTATTCTTGATGAAAATGTTCATGCATATGGAGAAGTAAATTAAATCGAATAAAAATTCATTTATTTATTTATTTTTTTCATAATATTTAAATTTTATAGGTTCGAAATCCATCATCAAGTTTATGTTTGGATACATTAGGTAGAGATGAAAAAGGTTCAATATCATTATCAATATTTTCATGTCAAAATGGTGTATCAGCAAATCAGTATTTTTCATTATCAAAAAAAGATCAGTTACGTCGTGAAGATACATGTGCAGTTGCATTAGGACAAGATTCGGATACAATGACTGTTTCTCTATCTCCATGTGATTATGCTGGTAGCAATCAAAAATGGGTACATGAAAAAGTAAGGAAAAAAAAGCAATTTATTTATTTTCAATTAAGATTTTATTTATTTATTAAAAGCGTGGATCAATTGTTCATTATCCAAGTAAACTTTGTCTTGATGTAGAAGGTCTTTCAAATAATGATCAAGTTAAATTAAGAAAATGTGAACCAAATAAACTATCACAAAAATGGCTATTTGAACATTATTCAACAACTTAATTCCAATTATTTCCTATCAATACATTCCAACCGTCCAAAAACAGAAATAAATAAACAGAATGAATTAATAAATATTCCAACATTTTTCTATTTCATGATTGTGTTAATAACAGTGTTGCTAATATTTCGTGATAATAGATTTCCATTGACTGTTGTTGCTTCTTTTTTTTTTTTTAGTTTTATTTGTTTTGTTACTACTTATAATTAAATATTAATAATGTCAATATTTTATATTCCTATAAAGATAATATTATGATCAATCTAAAAATATAATTTAAATCTGGAAATGTTATATTAAATTTTTTTTTTCTTCTATCTATGACGGATGTAAACAAATGTGTAGATAAAGCTCCAGGTGTTTGTTGTCAGTTCTTATCGAAGTTCATTATTATAGTTTTGACAACATCAGAAATGCATAAGATCCTGAAAAACATTGTATTCGTTTTTTTTAAATATCACATCATAATAATCCACAAATCAGATGAAAATTTATTTTTCTATATATTTATATATAATCATTAAGTTTATATCATCAAGTATCAAGTGAAGCAATGATTAAAATTTATAATTCTTAATTTATGAGTTTTTTTATTTCGTATGGCAGATTCAATAATAATGCATTTTTTGACTATAATCTCTATATATATATGTTGTGGCCGAAGTTGGAATGCAGCCTGATTCGGAATTCGTCCAGCCCAAATTGGAATTCTAACTTCGTCTAGACTAAAATGGAATTCTAAGCTCGACTAAACTAATTATGGACGAGATTAGAATTCTGATTTCGACTAGACAAAATTAGAATTATTTTTTAATGAATATTAAACGGTAAAAGATGAATACAAAATATTCGTAAATTTGTTAGTAACGGTGGCAGTGTGAAAAGAGCTAACGCATCTTGTTCTACCAACTGTCACTCAAAGAAAGGTACCTGTTCTAACATCGACTATCCTCTCCCCCCCCAAAAAAAAACATAAGAAGGCATATCGATGTGAAGCTAGCACGAATACCAATCAGAATCGACCCCCTAACCGTCCAATCAGCGCTCAAGCATATTTTACCAGTCGTAGTCCATAAAATACCACCAAAACCTTTCTTAGTAACCAAACACATTTTTCTACAGCACCTTAAAAATTAATAATCACATCAAACTGGATCGCCCATATATCTTCAACCAACTTATCATCAAAAAAAAAGATCATATATGACATGCATGAACGAACTTGTGTGTGGGTGCGGGTGTGAGTGTTCATGTGACAGAATACAAAACCCACCCACGCCTACACCTCTCCTCAGAAAAAAAGTTCGCCAGAAAAAAGACCAATGTACACGTTTTGGCAAAACAAATTATGCTAAGTTGTAGTTCATTACAAGGGCTATCAGGATACGTATAAATCTCAAAATCGAGTTTTTTTCGAAAAATTGACTTTTCTGAGGGAGGGGGGGGGGGGCCTTAACTGTTCACTTTTTCTAAACATTAGTATTAAAGTGATGCAATTTCAACTCGATCTTGACAATCCTCTTTGTGATGTTATTTGATGAATGGCATCTTGTATGACTTCATTGGATGACATTCAGTCATAATACGGTCTACTGCTATTTGTACAATCAAGTAGATGATTGTAACGAGGGTGTGGGTGTGGGTGTGGGTGGGTGTGAGGAAAAGAATGATATCCACACCCATACTGTTTCGGGCATTACACTCACAGTATGTTTTTCTTTTTTCTTTCTTCTTTCTTCTTCTCCGGAGGGTGTGGGTGAGAGTGTGGATGTATATATGCAACAAAAACACTCACGCCCGCAGCCACAACCATTGTCACACGCACATCTCACACCCAGTGTGGCTGTGGGTGTGAGCGTGAGTAATCTTTTGATGTACATCCACACTCACATCCATATCCATACTAACACCCACACCGGCATCCCTCTTTGGCGTCACTCGTGATCTTTTCTTTTGGTGCTAGCTTTTTTGCTACTGTGTGGTGTCCTTATCATAGAGTGCTTATGTGATAAGAATTTTAGAAAAACGAAAAAAAGAAGGCAAACACAGACAGCAGCAAAAGATAAATGTTTGACACGCTGCAAAAGTAAGATACGAATCATTCGAAAAAAAAAACTCGTCATCGGTGTAAGGTGCAAAACAATTCTAACAACAACATCATACTATTAACTATACTCAAAATATTTCGGGTTCAATTACTTGATCGTGGTGAGTAAATTATTAAAAAGGATCGAAATGCCAGAGAAACTAGTTTTAATGTTATACACTTGGCGTCAAGAGACTACGAACAGTCTGGTCCTTTTTTTGTTTCACTCTTTTTTGTCTATTTCAATTACTGAAGAGATCAGAAACGAAAATCTGTATAATGTAACTGTAACTTTGATGAGATTACGTATCAAAAAAAGATGAAAACTATGGTAAAATTGGGTGTGGGTAAGAGTAGTACTGGAAAATTTTCCAGTTGCAAACCAATCTACACAGATAAAGGTCAGAATTGATCTGTCAGAGATCGATATGTGACAATAATGATGAAAAGTTTCTAATCATGGCGAAATCTGTAACAGTGAGAACAGAAAGCGTCGATTCACTTACTGATTTAACGGAGTTAGAAGGACAACTTTTATCACTGACAGTTATGTGAAACATCAAGGACCAATCACTTTGAACTACGGAACAATTCGTTAAACTGTTGACGAAACAGCTCCGTTCCGACCGATTATGAGCGAAACTCAGACTGAGAAGCTTTGGGCTACATAGTCGTGCTTCGAAGTTAGTGTGCAAGGGTTCGTTCCTTCCACCAATTTGTCAGAGCAGTACTGAAAACCTCAGGACCACCGAGCAATTCATAGAAAACAATCCCAAAAAGGTTCGCAGAACAGAGAAATCTGTCAAGATGAAAGCTGACAGATTCAAGTAGGATGAAAGTCGCTAAGAGTCACAAAGAAGAAATCATACTCTCATAAACGCGGGTGACGGTGAAAATACAGGAGCCGCGATCATCAAGCAATTTATCAGGACCTCAGCGACAATTTTCAAGTTATACAGAGAATCATAAGAACCCAGGCGGAGAAATCCAATCATTGTATCTTGTTGGATCCGTTCAGAATCAATGTCGGATTATGTCGGAAATGGTCGAATTCTATCGAGTTGAGTCCAGAATTCAGTGATCCAAAATCTGACGAATATAGGACCGGGAAATGATCCTATCGGATCCGACAAGTTTCGATGTGTGGATTCGACAAAGTCTTATCGGAACCTCTGACGAAAATTAAGAGATCTGACAGGATCCGGTCAGATTTGAATTATTAGCGTTCTATAGTTGTTCTGCTTCCAATTCACTATCATTTATTTACCATATAATAAATATTTACATTTATGACGCCGATGGTAAATATACCGTTTATCTTAATTAAGACCCAGACGTACGATAAAGGGATTTCAGCTCTTTGTTAATAAGACTTTCGCCAGTTATTGACGAAAGTCCGGAGGGCGTATTGACGAATGTCCACGGGACGAATTGGCGAAGTCTACTCAACTTTCACCAATTATTTGGTGAGAATCTTGTAGACTTTTGCTAGTATTGGCAAAAGTTGAGTGGATTTTCGCCAATTGACAGAACAGTATAAACGCAGCACATATGCGAGAACTGTACCCCGTGGTATTAAGATGTATCTTAATGCATACACTTGCAGTGTGTTCGAATATGATCATATTAATGTTTAGTTATAA